ATTAATCTAAGTATTTCTACATGGTCTTGTCTTACAGAGAAGGGTTTGGACCTCTAACTTCTTGGGCAGTTCACATGGAGACTGTTCTGGTGGAGGACCCCTTTACCAATCTCTCCCAGAATTTTCCTCGTCCTAGTCCCGCCTATCTTCCTCATTGGCTAGACAGTGTTTTATTCATCAACCAATAAGAGAAACATATACACAGAAGGACATCCCCCACCAAGGGTGGTCCTTCTGCTCAGCCCCCCTTGCTACACTTAGTTCTTCCCCACCACTTCCTGTCAGCTAGTTGCTGACTCAATCTCCTGATCCCACATTAATTTTATTTAACCAAACAAATGTAACACATCTTTGCATCATTAACAAAGGCAGCAGAAACAACTGGAACACACCTTTACACAGTTAATATTCCACAACAGGTGGTTTTATCTTCTCAACATTAAATGTCTCCCCTGCACCCATTGGGGGTTCTGAATCAATGCCTTTGACCTTTATAGCAGAATTATCACAAGTTTAGGAACACATGCTCCTGGGTGGACTCCACCCCAAAAAGATAAACTACAGTGTCTGTAGCAATTTGAAACATTCCATCTATAGGGAGATGGTGATGGAGATTCCTTTGAGTCATCCTTGCTTCATTAGTGACCCCCAATAAATACACTGGTTTAACCAACTTGGAGTTTGATAGTGTCATTACTTTGACCGTCAATTTCCTATCTGAGGGGAATAGACATTATGTCACATGTCCCCAGGAAAAGTGTTTCACAACAGGGATTTATTAGTCCAGACGGCACCTGTTGCCACCATGTAATTTTGACATAATGGCCCCTGATCCATTTGTAGATAAATTCCTGTTTATAACCCAGTCTTTCAGGTTCCTCTCAACTGTTTGTCTTTTCAGGGGACACTGGGGCTTAGGGTGAGTTGGAGGTAGTAGGAGGGAGAACAAGTCTCACAGCTATCAGGAAGTTGTATGGCATTGATGTGTGCAATTGTTCTGGAAGCCTTTTCCTCAGCCTTCCTCCTGGAACTTAGCTAGTAGTGACTGACACACCTCTAAATTTAAGAGAGAATGGAGGAAACTCCATTCTCTAAACATCATTTTCCCAGAGTCTCTGCAGCCTACCAGCATCCCCCCACCACTGCCCACAGCCAGGGAAGTTAATGGCTTCCCTGCTGTGCCACACTTCCAAGGCCCCTTTGCATTGCTAGAGCCCTAACTGGCATTTGGCTAATTGTGTGCTGTGCTCTCTTCTTCAGGTGGCCTTTGCTTCTGAGGACTTGTTGGTGTTTTCTTCAGCTCAGCATCACCCGGATGGGATGGGTGGTCTGCAGGTGAACCTGACACCATCTCCTGGGGTGGGGTGTGCTTCTTTGAGAGATCTGTACCTGTGGAGGGTGACTGTGGGAGCCAATCTGACCTTTTTTTCAGCAATGTTACTGCCAGCAAATAAATGTGTGCAGAGCTACAGAGAGAAGTCATTGCTTCTAAAAGACGCTACTAGTCGATTTCGAGGCTCTGTTACTTACATGAGTGCTTGCTGCACACGAGAACGTACACACACACACACACCCTTATCATGATACATTTAATAGTGTGATGCTACAGCCACCCTGTGCTACAGTTTCCAGCCTTACCAAAGCCACAAAAGTGGGACATTTCCTGTGTGTAGGGTGTGTGAGTGTGTGTTCAAGTGCATACGTATGTGTGACTGCATGTTCATTTGTATATGAAGGCCAGAGGACAACTTTCATTTTCCTGTTTTCAGCATCTCCCTGACACCAACTGATCTCCCACTTCAAGCCATAGGTCTTCTTAAAACACAGATTGCTAATTCCTCTTCCTTGGTGAAGAAGGTCAACATCTGTCTTGTTGTGACATCCAGTGCCTTTCCCAGCACATGCAGGATCCACGGCTGCAACATGGTCTTTTTTTTTTTTTTAATCCCAGACACACTCTACAATGAGGCCCTCTAAGCAAGACTCCATACGCAAGCTGGTTTCTGCTGTCCCCTCTACCTATAGTATTGTCTTTACTACCTTGGATGCCTTAGTCCAGTTGGCAAGGACTAGCATCTGGTTCTACCGTTTACTTGCTGTGTAACAATGTGAGGGCACCTGAAACCTCTTAGTCTCAGTTTGTTCATCTTTAAGGGCAAAGAGTCAATCAATAGAAATCTGAAGAAAACAGAATTCCAGACAGTAATTCTCAGCCTTCAATTCAACCTGCTGAAGCATGGTCATTATCCCTTCCCACTCATAGTCATCACATTGTGAATTACCAGAGAGGTGGGTTGTGTTCATTGTCATTTCTCTAGACTGAGAGGTCTTGAAGGTCAAGGTTCCACATCTCAAGCCATGGCCTCATGCTTCTCACAAGTAGTTATGCCATGAATATTATATGAGGAATCATTTATTTCCCCTTCATGGTCAAATACACCTAATTCACAGGCCATTTGTTTCTCTGGAGTGTGGTAAAATACATGGGCTCTGAGGTCAGAATGATATAGCCTCAAACCAGAGCCCTATGATCTCAAACTCAAAATGTTTATTTTCTAATCATCAAAGAGAGGGTGGCAATACCATTGTAGAAATAACCCTACTTATTGTTGCTCTGATGAGATTTTTTTCTCATTCTCTCATGTGTGTGTTTATTTTGTGTATGTGTATGCTTGCATGTGTGTCAGTGTAAGTTCATATGTGTAGGTACATTTGGTACCCGGAGGTTGATGCTAAGAATCATCCTTGACCATCTTCTATCGTATTTATCAAGCAAAGGTCTCTCAATCACAACCAGAGCTCACTGATATGCTTAGTCTTGCTATCAGTATGGAATCCTTTGTCTTCAGCCTCCCAGGTGAAACACTATGGGTGGTTCCAAACTGTGGTCCTCACTCTCAAGGGTTTCAGCCAATGAGCCATCTCCCCAGCATCCCACCCTGAGAATTGACACTGACATATGTGGAGTGCCACCATCAGAATTATTAGGAGGCTATGGTGTTCCTTGTTTGGACCCTCCCCAGATTCTTCTGGTACTGCCCAGACAAACCACAGAGTACTGGTTTAGTTCTTTTTAAAAGTCTTGGGAATGGGGGTTGGAGAGTTGAATGAGCATTTAAGAGTATATATTGATCTTCCAGAGGACTAGAGTTCAGGTCCTAGAAGTCACATCAGGAAGGTTGTAAGCCTGTATTTCTAGCTCCAGGGAAATCTGATTCCATTCTGGCTTTCATGGGTGCCTGCAGAGTAATATACATAAATAAAAACAAATTTTTAAAAATCTTTGGAACTATGGTCCAATTGTTTACTTAGCCCTAATGTGACTCTCATGAGTCCTAAGTACTCTCGTTTTATTATGAAATTAGTCTTACTTTAGAAAACAATATACGTGAATTATATTTTTATTCCACTAATACAAAGAAGAATATAATTCAGTTTTGATTCATTTTTATATATTGCTTAAACTTACATTGAACTTCTTTGGGTTTTAAGAGAAGAAAAGAAAAAGAAAAAAGGAGAAAACATGGATTTGGGAGGAGGAAATGAGGAGGGGGTCTGTAGGGAGAGGGGTGTGGGAGGTATGATCTAAATGCATTGTATTTATATATGAATTAGGGACAAATATATACTAATATTTTTGGGTTTCTTTTGAGACGGCGTTTCTCTGCATAGCTTTGAAGCCTGTCCTGGAACTAGCTTTTGAAGACCAGGCTGGTCTCAAACTCACAGAGATCGGCCTACCTCTGTTGCCCAAGTGCTGGGATTAAAGGCATGTGCCACCACCCTTGAGGCTTAGAAGAACGTATAATAAATTTTAAAGCACATTATTAAGTATATGTGCCAGACACTGTGCCATTTCGGAGTAGCCCACCCTGTGAGTCTCAGTTCCCACCATTCTTCCTGGAATGTTCCCTTATCCAGCTCCCTGTGAGGTGATGGTACTCCCCCTTCTTCCTGAACTTACTCTCTGGCTTCCCTCATCTCTTGGCAGTTCATCCCTGAAAGCAGGTACACTTAGCGGACATCAGCATCTACTTACATATGGTGACCTGCCACCCTTCTTGGACTCAGTAGGTGTGTGCCTCTGCGTAGGGTCTACATTACAGCACCACACTGGAGACGCTGATGCTGCTGGGGGGAAACTCCTGCTTTGGCCAGAAGTGAGGGATTCCGCCTGGTTGTCCAAGCTCCCAACTCTCCACCCAGCCTTCTTTCTTCCTCCCAGCTCTCCAAGAACTACAGGCCTCTGGCTTCTCTACGTGGCTGTTTGATTCCCAGCCTTCTCCTCTGTACTGGTCTTTTCTCTATGGGTTGCAGGTGCTCCCCGGTCACCAGACTACTCTCCCCTGGCATCTGGAAGAGATTCAATTCTCCTCTTGCCTCACCAGTGCAGTCCTGGTTTTTCTTTCTTTTGCCCCCCTGGCCTGACTGGCTGTGACCTCATGGCAATTTTCCTGCCTCAGCTGCTCACACTCCACCATGCCTGGCTTGCATCTTCACCAAAAAGAAAAAAAAGAATTGTTTTAAAGGAAGAGGGTAGATGTGAAGTGACTGGGAGATCAGTGGATCGGAATGCACGATGTGAAACACACACACACACACACACACACACACACACACACACAATCAATGAAAGTCACATCTGTCCCTGGGCTTGCGAGATAGTTTCAGCAGGTAAATGTGCTTGCCGCCTAGCCTACCTACCTGAGTTCAATCCCTAGAACTCATGGGGTGGAAGGAGAGAACTGATTCCTGCAAGCTGTCTTCTGACCTACATACACACACATACACAAATTAGTGCAATATTTTTAAAATTAATATTTTCTACAATTGCTCGTTGAAGATTTTCTCATAGGCTCCACCGTTTTGAAGAAGCCCAAGCTACAAGAAAGCAAGCTGTTTTTTAAAGAGTACTCAGCTTTTTAAACCTCGTCAGCACCGCCTTCAGACTTAACTCCGCCCAGATACGCCTATCTATAGGTCCCGCCCCTCCCGGGTCTGGGACAGTTTGACTTCTTCCAAGCCTTCTGCTTCTCCCGCCCCTCACTTCCAGGGCACTCGGCTGATATGCGCATGCGCGTGAGAAAGCTTTTCTTCCTGAAGTCCCCAACTGCTCGTAGCCCAGGAAGTGAAGGGCTGATGTCGCGACCTAGTGGACTTCCAGAGCCTGCCAGGTAAAGCCCTCCGGCTCCAGACGCTGGAGCCCGACCTAGTCGGGCCCCAATTACTGCGCGGGCCTACCTGTCCATCCTGCAGTTCAGGCTCCTCGGGACTAGCCTCCTGATCGGCCAGCTGGGACTTTGCTTCTTTCTGCTCCAGGGAACAGAGTGGGGGTTTCACCTAGAAAGATTCACACACAGGCAGGCGTGTCCTCATACCCCTGGGTCACAGCGCTTCCCTTTGCCAATCTGTATCACTCTTCTGTAACCTGTGTCCCCACAGCAGAACCTCACAACCCGACGATGGCCAGACAGCCCGGCAATCAGCCAGACCGGGTTCAAGTCCCTGGGTGGCTACTAACACTCATGATCGTGGTTCTTGCCCAAGGCACTGCTCCCAGCCTCGACTCACATGATCCCATTATCCACAGGGCTTTCCTGAGAATTATAAACAGAGTGGGGTGAGCCCTGATCAGAGCTGTTGCTCCTATTTTAATGGTGATAGTCTGGAGACAGTTTCTAGACTTTTGTTTCTCCTGCTGCCTCTTGGCAGCTCTAGGAGCTCCCGAAAAGCCTCCTTGGGCAGAGTTCTTTCCGCTTGCCTAGCTGTCTTTTCTGAACAGAGGCCTGCACACTGTGTGCCCACTTTCAGTGACCCTTTCCAGGACATTTGATTGGTTTGCAGCCAGCAGCCTGCCACATGGGAAGGGCAGGGGGAGGTGGTGAGAATTATTAGCAAACACCTCCAACCAATGGCTTACTAAGGATGTCCTAGCTGGTCATTAGCAGTCACAGCTGAGTGCCCCTCTCCCCATCCCCCGCTCCGTGTGTGAATTGGTCGATTTATCTTAATGACTACCCTCCAACAAGTTACAGATCCAGGAGATGATGTCATAATTTTTTCCCACGTGTAGCCCCAAATGATCTCAAAATTCTGGCCATCTTCCTCCCTCAACCTTCCAAGCAACTGGGATTACAGGTGTGAGCGACCACACCTGACCCCACCCATTTTGAGTTGAAATGAATTTTTTTTTTTTTTTTGGTTTTACGAGACAGGGTTTCTCTGTTTTGGAGGCTGTCGGTCCAGCCTGGCCTCGAACTCACAGAGATCCGCCTGCCTCTGCCTCCCGAGTGCTGGGATTAAAGGCGTGCGCCACCAACGCCTGGCCGAGTTGAAATGAATTTTGATTGACCTAACCATCTGCTTTTGCACAGCCATACTACGGACTAATGAAAACTGATGTTCACTCTCTGTGGCCACCATGACAAAGTCCTAAGAATTGTGTGACTTAAGCAATGGCAGTTAGGGAAAACTCTTGGGTCTGAAGGCCAGTCCAAAATCAAGGTGTCAACAGGAACACAATCGGAAGTCTCTGGGGGCGCTTACTTGCCTCTTCCAGCTTCTGGTGGCTTCTGGTCATCCTTGACTTGTAGCAGCAGCAGCAGCAGCACTCTGGTCCCCATCCCCATCTCTGTGTGTGTCTCTCTGTAGCCTCTTCCTTCACAGATGCCTGCCATGGGATTGGGGGTTCTCCCAAAATCCAGGGATCTTACCTCACCAGCCTTAACTACATATGTAAAGATCCCATTTCTGAGTAAAGTTCCATTCCCAGGTTCTAAGTTGACATGGACGAGGCCACCCTGTGTGAGGCAGCAGCATAGTATGCTTGTCTGAGGGACACATGAGCACGCTGCAGACTGTGGGGACGAGTCTAAATATTTGCCTATCCGTTCTCAAAGTGCAGTCCCTTGAGTTGCCACAGAGGCAACATCATGACTCTGAAGTGGAATCCAGTGCTCCTTCTCAGGCCTTACCTCAAAGCCACCGAGTCACAGTGAGGGGTACCCTGTGCAGACCGAGAGCAGCCCTCTCCCAGATTCAGTGGATGTTTGAATTTGGGAATTACTTTTAAGTGGCGGCTGGGTTTGAGAACATGGTGGAAGGATCAGGCAGGCTTTACAAAGACTTTTCGACACACCTGTCCTAGCTGTGTATAGCTATAGTATTAGTATTTCTTCCCCAGAGCACTAGGGATAGACCAGGGCCTCCCATGCTAAGCAAATACTCTACTACTGAGCGATATCCCAAGCCTGCTTTTTATTGCTTATTTAGAAACAGGGTCTAGAGTTCAAGGTTGGCCTTGAAGTCACTCTGTATTCTAAGGACAACTTGAACTTGTGATCCTCCTGTCTCAGCTCCCAAACAGCTGGGACTAGAATGAAGCCCAGCTTACATACAGAGTCAAAGTTCAACTGTTACATTATTGAGGAAATGTCTTAGCATACGTGCTTGATTTGGTTTGGTTTTTTAGGTAAGGTGTCATGTATAACAGGTAGGCCCTGAACTCACTGCGTTGCTAAGGATAACCTTGAATTCCTGATCCTCTTGCCCTTACTTCTCGAATGCAGGTATTACATACATGCCTAATCTGGCTTACTCTTGAATTTTAAAGTTAATTTGCCCTTCTAAGTGAAGTTGTGTATGCAACTGTGAACTTGGTGTTTTTGCCTCATTCGTTCTTGTCAACAAAATGCCATTTAAGTACTGTGATTACTGCCAGGTTATTAGAAAACTATACTGAGACTCAGAAATTAAATCCAAGATACTCACCCCACCCCTACCACTCATCCCACCACAGATAGCTCAGCAGGACTGGGAGCTTTCTGCCACAGCTCTGCTTACCGGAGATCTTGCCCTGTCCTCATCTTAGGAACAATCTGATAGATGATGCCAAGGCCCGCTTGAGAAGGTTCGATGTCGGGACCAGGTATTCCCATTTGTCTTCTAATAAATACTCTGTCCTTCTGCCTCTGCTGGTCAAAGAAGGAAATCTGTACTTGCTGCTCACTGTCCGCTCAGACAAGGTAGGTGACAAGAGGCTCTTGTGACATCTTGGGGCATTTAAAAACACACTTCTTTCACTTTGTCCGCATTTCAAGGCTGCCATTCTCAAATGAACTTTCGAAATCATGGTGTTGGAGGAGTAGTGGAAGCCACAGGATGAAATGGGATTTTGTTTGTTTGTTTCATGATTTTTTTTTTTTTTGGTTTTTACGAGACAGGGTTTCTCTGTATTGTTTTGGAGGCTATCGGTCCAGCCCGCCTAGAACTCACAGAGATCCGCCTGCCTCTGCCTCCCGAGTGCTGGGATTAAAGGCGTGCGCCACCACTGCCCGGCCAAATGTGCCATTTTTAAAGAGGTTTTAGAAAGAAGAAGAAAAAAATAGAAAACAGGGCTGGTAGAAAACACGTTAGAGCAGGGTTGCTTAATGTTGGTGCTTAAACAGGATTTAGGTCTAGAACATTCTTTGTCAAGGAGCCTTCTTGTTCATTGTAGGATATTTAGTGTTGTCTTGATCTCTACCCATGACATATACACAGCACTTATACACAGGCCCATCTGTGTGATGACAGCCTGTCTTCAGACAGTGCCAGTAGTCCTGGCAGAATAGGGGTGGAAAACTACCCCCATCAACAATGACTCTGTTAGACTAATCCACCCAGGTAAACTAGAGCATACCCTTAGTACCTAGGCCCTGAAGCCAGCTGCCCACATTGAATGCATGCTGAAGTTAGGATCCATCTCGCTCTACAGCCATATTAGGCTAGGTGTTCCAATCTCTCCTAATCACTTCTGGGTAGTCACCCTTCCTTGCTGTTGTCAATATTTACCAGAGAGTTGAAGAAATGGTCATTTCAAGGATATCCCAGGATAGACATAATAGACCACAAAGTAACATAGTCTTCCAAACAAAGTAATTGAAAATGTCCCATTGACAGCATATATATGTAAATAATAAAGACATAAATAAACAACAGCTGAATTCTATGGACCCAGGGGACACAGGACTGTGGAGATCCTTTTTGCTGTGGAACAGTCAAGTGACACAAGTCCAGGTAGTTATTAAAACCCACTTTCCCAAAGGAGACTAGGGAAATGAGGGTCTCAGCTCTGCTCCTAAGTATAGTGTTCATAATTCTCTGCCCCTATTTTTTTTGTGTGTGTGTAGATGTGTGTGTATGTGTGTGTGTGTATTATCTGAGAAACAGTAAAGCCCATATATGACCAAAGCCTCTGGCCAGTGGAATTCTGATTTTTTTGTTGCACCCACAGTGGTTATGCCTGATGATCATGAGCCATTTTAAGTTTTGAAGGTTTATTTTCTGTGTGTATGGGTGTTTTGCCTGGATGAACGTATGTGCACCATCTTAGTACCCACATAGGTCAGAAGAAGGCACTGAATACCCTAGAACCACAGTTCTAGTTGGTTGTGAGCAACCTGTGGGTGCTGGGAACTGAACCCAGATCCTTGGCAAGAACAGCAACTGCTCTTAACCACTGAGCCATCTCTCCAAGTTGTCAAGGTCATTAAAAAAATAATATAACCGGGCAGTGGTAGAGCACGCCTTTAATCCTAGTGTTTGGTAGGCAGAGGCAGGCAGATCTCTATGAGTTTGAGGCCAGCCTGGTCTGCAGAGAGAGTTCTAGGGATAAGTTCCAGTGCTACACAAACAAAAAGGTTAAATCTCCTTCGCTCTAATTGCAAGCCCTACCTGTCTATGAGCGAGGGAAGTAGGGTGTTTTTCAACCAGCCTTGCAGCTGCTCCTGAGGACTTCCCAGGGCCTTCTGCCAAGCTGGGACTCTAACATGGATTGACTCATAGCTCCTCTTTTACATTTTCTGTAGAGACAGGATCTCACCAAATTGCCCAGACTGGACTTTAGTTCACTCTTGTAGTTCCAGCAGGCCTTGAACTTCCATCCACCTGCCTCAACATCGGAAGCAGGTGGGATGACAGGCTCGTACCACCAGACCTGGTTTCCGGAAGGTTCTTTTTATTTTTTTCATTGCATTTTAAAATGTGTTATGGGGGAGAGGCACGCATACTATGTATGCAAGTGTGGAGATCAGAGGACAATTTTGTGGTGTCTGCTCTCTCCTTTAGCCTTTATGAGGCTCCCACGGATCAGAGTTAGGACATTATGATTGCACCACAAGTGCTTTATGAGAGGAGCCATCTCACCGACCCTGGAGCCATGTTTGTAATGTCTTACAATCCTGATTTTCCAGTATCTAGAGATGGGACTGAAAGCTGTCCTGAGAGAAGTGTGCAAGAGAGCAACATTGTCTCAGCTCATGCTAGTGTCCATGATCCCTGACACTGACTAAACACTGTATGAGTTAATGCTAGCGTCTGTGCTCTCTGACACTGACTGAACACTGTCTCAGTTCACCCTAGTGTCTGTGCCCTGTGACACTGACTGAACACCGTCTCAGTTCATGCTAGTGTCCGTGTCCCCTGACATTGACTGTTCCTTGTTGCGTTCTCTCTTTGCTCAGTCCAGCACAGGTAAGGGCTCCCTTCATAGACCTAGAGACCTGGGGCCTGGGGCATTTCACTTGGCTGAAAGTGAACATTGGATGGGTTGTCCTTTTGGGTAAGATTTATTAGGAGAGTTAATATCATGACAAACAGTCAGGCAGACAGACAGACAGCATGGTAGAGGCTCTGATTTGAGATCAGGTCCATGAGGCAGAGTAGGGGAGCCCCTTCTTACAGGTCTCAGAAGAAGGGAAGTTTTGGTGTTAGACCAGCTGTTTCTAGTTCGCAGGAAGGCCATGGGAAAGAAGAAAATGGTCTTGCATCACCAGGAAAGGATGTGAGATTCCAGAAGAGTGCAAGAAGTGTGTGTGTGTGTGTGTGTGTGTGTGTGTGTGTGGGTAGCATCAGTTGAGGTGTGTACCCTTATATGGGTAGAAGTATGTTTCTCCATGGTAGTCTGGCAACCTGAGGTAGTCAACTTTACTGGGAAAGTAAGAATGTTTTTGAGTGTGTGTGTGGGGGGGGGCAGAGGAACGGGAAGAAAGAAGTGATGTAATTCTACAATAATCTCAAAAATAAAATAAATAAAAACCAAACAAAAGAACCCAGTGTGGATAGCACCTAAGGAATGGTACCTAAAGTTGACCTCTGGTCTCCACATGCACATGTAGATGTGTGCACCCACACAAACACACATACATGCATACATGTACACCCATACAGACAACTTACACTATTTACAGAGGGGGAAAAAGATTGTGCATTCCCATGCTTAGGTAGATCCCTTTCTGGTCCCAAAAGTCTATGAAAAATTTTTGTTTTTGATTTTGTTTTAGATGTACTTGCTTGCTTCAAAACAGCTGAACACTTTCTAAGAGTAGAGTTCTCAGGAACCCAAAAGGTCCTTGCTCCCTATTAATTGGAGTCAAAGTAGAAGGCCACTTGAATTGAATTGGCATGCTCTGGGGTCTCTTTGAAGAGCTTTCAAAATGTATTTTAAATCAAGTCAGTATTTCTATCAAGCCCAATGAGTCCTTGTGGGTGCCCCTGTCACCAGCTACTGTAGAGCTGAGTGTGCAAACAGTCACGTTTTAGAGGTGATGTACCAGGGGGCATATTTTTAAGTATTTTATAAGACAGGCTGTGGTAGACAGAAGATGGTCTAGCCTTCTTCTCCCTACTCTCTCATCTGTCACTGAAGAGAAGATGTGTGAGGCCATAACTGTCAAGCCAGATCCTGTGGAGCTCTTCATTTATAGCAGGGAAGACCTACAGATGTTTTATGTTTTCGAAAGACTTACCTAGGACTGGGAATATAGCACAATGGCAGAGCACTGCCCTAGTATGCACAAAGCCCTGGTTCCACACCACAAAATAAAATAAATGAGTGAATGAAAGCGAAAAGTTACTAAAGCCGCATCTTTGGCTATAGCAGTAAATAAAGATCATAACAGTCTTAGTCCTCTCAAACGACTGTAACAGAATACCTTATACTGGATGGTTTATGAACATCAAACATTTCCCATGAGTGTGGAGGCTGCAAAGTTCAGTATCCAGGCATCTGCAGATCAAGAAATTGGTCCTGGCCTCCTTTTTCTAACTCATAGATGATGGATTTCCCTGTGTGCTCACAGGGTGAGCAGAGCAGTCAGTCGGCTCTAAGATCATTGATAAGGACCATGCTCCATTATAATTTTCCAAAAGCCTCACCTCCAAATGGCATTGCCTTGTGACTGAGGATTTCAATGGTAGCAGCCAGGAAACAGATATTCTGACCAGATCAGGCTCCTAGCTTTCCTTACACAGTTCTATCAGCCCAAGTGCTCAAAATGCCGACAGGACATCTTGGTTGAATTCTTCAACTTCAAGAACCGACCTTAGGGGTTCTCATTGCACCCCCTGCCTGGGAGCAGGACACAAATCCACGTGCTACAGCCTCAGCTCATGTAACCGCCCTGTGGTTCCAGCAAGTGCACACTGCTGTGATCTTTGTACACAGTTGGCAAGAAACTGGCCTAAGAGGCCTGCTGAGTCAGGTTCTCTCAGTAGATGCATGGGGAGGGCACTGGACATGGGTAAGTGAGTGTATAAGAGGGACTGGGGGAGACCCTGGCTGAGAAGCTGAGCACACAGAAAAGGGAATGGTGAGGTGAGGGCTGCAACCTTCAGAGCTGAGAAAGGAGGAAATTACTGGGAGCCACACATGGAGACACATTGTCCTAAAGTCAGACAGAACTGGAGTCAGAGATGTGGGTGGAGAAATATGGAAAGAGAGGGCCCCGTTCTTCATGTAGGTGAGCAAAAATAAATGGAGATGTTGAGATGTGTGGCACCAATGGTGACGGCTCCTCAACAATACTATGTTTTAGCAGACTCTTGTTTATTTAAACTTATATGGGAGTGTGAGTGTGGGCATGCATGCATCACGACCTCTGTAGGGGAGTTAAAGGACAGCTTTTGAGAGTCTCTTCTCTCTCACCTTGTTATTGAGATAGGGTCTCTCTTCCTTACCTCCTCATTCCCAACTATAGGATCCAAA